TAAATACATATAACTACCTACAGAACCAATACACCTATCCTAGTCTATCATAGGCCTAATTATGCACAGAATTTGAGTATGGATAAATATTAATTTCTGTTCGCGAAAATATCGTTTTTGGTTACATTATACGTTCAAATTAAAGAATGTGTTTTTTGGGGTCAGTGGAAGTTTGGGGGAGCAGTCTGTCGATGCTTATGGGGACGTGCTTATGAGGACGTGCTTATGGGGACGTGTTTATGAGGACGTGCTTATGGGGACGTGCTTTTGGGGACGTGCTTTGAGGACGTGCTTTTTGGGGACGTGCTTATGAGGACGTACTTATGAGGACGTACTTATGAGGAAGGATTGAATTTCAGGCGTTAAAATTACGTGGGCGAAACATTTACAGAATGTGCATTTGAAAAATACGACGTGAGTGGTGAATTTATCCAACATTTTCAGGCGACACTGTGATGAAACACCACTTTCCTTCAAGTGGGGTTTTGAGCGTGTTCACTCGAATCTTGAAAGGAAGACCTAAGCTCTTTACTTCCGCGGGTCAAGTCACAGCCCGTCTTCATAAATTAAGTCTAAATACTGACTAATCTAGCCGTTAAACTCCGTGTTTACGAACGTGTAACACTTTACACACGAATAACAACAGATGACGTTCGACCATTTATCGAACAGTGCTTTGCTAACATTCTCTGTTCGAATCGCACCTGTAAATGCTTCACCCAATAATTTAGGAAAGGAAAGGAAATTATGTGGAGAAAAGGCAATATGACTTATAGCACATGGAAGGGATACGAGGATAAGGAACTCGGGATATGAGGAAGTGGTTAGTTGGACCATTTTATCCATCGGGATCAAAGGTCAACCCAGCAAGAAGTCAGGCTGTCGCTCTGCTGAATAACCCAAGTGGTTGGGATACGTGAATATACCCGATACCCGATACCCGTTGGGATACCCGAAATGCAGAACCAAAACCTGAACAATCAAGAACCGCATGAAAATTAATTGGGTAGAAGTGGATCAGGGCAATTAATAATTCTTAATTGGAGAACTCCATAAGACTTTGGTAAAGCGGAAGACAAACTCACCTGAGCGGAAATTGTAAAAGAACCTTAGAAACAAAAATGTGTCCATGGTCAGGGATTTCAAATAAATGGAGGAATTGATTGGATTTCTTGTTTTGAACTACAAAATAAGAAATCCAGTAACGGGGAATTTTATAGAGCTGGTCGAAAACTAATTCCAAGTCCAATTTGCAAATGAGGCCTCGGGGACAGCAATTTTCTGGACCTGGTGCTTGTCATCATGGATACGCTCATCAGTAACGGAGAAATCGGCAACGAGTTGGAAAACGTTGATCATCATCATGAAATTCGATTTAATATTTCATGGTAGAAAGGTGTTAGAAATAACAATGATATCAGGTTCCTGGGGTTTCTGGAACGCAAACTATAAGCAATTGAGACTCAACCTAACTCAGTCAACCGCAGTAGACTGCGGAAACCGCAGTAGACTGCGGAAACCGCATCAGAGATGAGAACCATGCAGTGAATGAGAGGAATTTCCATAATAATGAGTTTCCAATGTTTTCTTTATGTACTGATAGATTCTTAAACTTCAAAACTTATTATATGCATTTTGTAGATTTTGAATCAAAGCTAACTTAGCAACTTTATCTAATCTAAGCGGAATTGTTTCTTATTTCGATGTATCTTCGTGGAAATTTATATAAATATGAGATTAAGAAAACTACTAATACTAAATATGAAAATCATAATTATTTTATTATTTAATACCAGTTTAATTTTACTTAAGTTGGGCAGTACTGAGGAATAACCGCTCGGTTTAAGTTAAGTGAGGATACTAAGTTGGGTTATCTTGAGGTTATCTTGAGATGATTTCGGGGCTTTAGTGTCCCCGCGGCCCGGTCCTCGACCAGGCCTCCACCCCCAGGAAGCAGCCCGTGACAGCTGACTAACTCCCAGGTACCTATTTACTGCTAGCTAACAGGGGCATTCAGGGTGAAAGAAACTTTGCCCATTTGTTTCTGCCTCGTGCGGGAATCGAACCCGTGCCACAGAATTACGAGGCCTGCGCGCTATCCGCTATGGGTTAAGTTAGGTTAAGTGAGGCTACTAAACTGGTTTAGGTTAGGGTAAGTAAGGCTGCTAAGTTAGTTTTTGCCTTAAAATATACAAAATGCATGGCATAAATGTTAAATGATGTGTAATGTATTTATTAATGGGTAATTTTTTAGATTTTTTATATATATATGTAATCCCTTTGCTGTAACATTCATGTGGGGGTTATCTCCCGTGTGCGGCTTTATTGACAAACTTCAAAACTGTTAAATTGTCTCAGGAAGAAATCATTCCTAACAAACTACTATGTATTCATAATAACCGTCCAACTGGTTAAGAACGTAGGAGACACTCGCTTAATTAACCTGTTTGGTAAATTATAATTTGAAAACAAAAAGACAATGAAACCCATGTAACCAGAAATAGTCAAACCTTTAATGATTTTCCCATTATTACAATCCAAACTGGTGGAGAAAATAGGGACTCTGAAGTCAACTACAGGTCAACTGATATATGACTCGAGAGAAACTAGCAATGTGTTAATATTGACTTTGTCTCACTATTCACCAGTGAAGGCCTAGGCCAATCTTCTCAACATGTCAACAATTTATAGGAAGAGCCACGAAAATAAACTATGTAACATTCAGGTTAATAAACCATATGTAATTTAAAAACGAAAAATACCACCAAATAAACCGGCCGGCCCAGACGAGGCGGTTACCCGCGGAGTCTCAAGAGCCCTACAGCGAGGAACGCAGTGAACCTCTCATACGCATAATAAGTCAGTCACTACAAAAATAATCCATACCGTATGACGTGTCTGGCTTCGATTAGAACGCACAATTAGGTATGCTAGGTTTGATTCCCGGATGGAACGGGAAAAGGCTGGGTAACTTTCCTTTTACCTAATGCCCCAGTTCACCTAGCAGTAAATAGGTAGCTAGGAATTAGGCAACTGTTGTAAGGTTGCATCCTGGGAAGAGTCAGTGTTGTGAGCTTAGAGGATGTTGATATAAGCCTAAAGCAAATATATAAACAGGCTTCCTGTGTCCGACAAAGTGAATTAATACAGTTCTGATATTCAAGAAGAGAAACTGATCCCTCACTACGAACTCTTTATCTATTTACCCTGATGGCAATAGTGGGAAATTTCTTTAAGGCCATAGTAGACCTAGAGAGTTCAATATGAAAACATATATGATCTGTTAAACGACTCTCAAAATCGTTTCTTTTTGAGGTTGTGCATGTCTCGCAAATCTGTAATCTTCTAAAAAAAAGTGTATTTGTCACTCGAAAACTATACCAATCATGATGTTTTCTGTCTTGACCTTAGTAAGTCCTTTGACTGTACCCAATAACTGGCTGATAACGACACTGGAGGGAATGTTCTTAATTGGATCCGAGGCTGGCAGAAGGACTTTAGGTTCAGGGGGCTGCATCAATCGTGTGAAGTCGAGACGGAGAGATGCTATTTGTGGTGTACCACAGGTTATTTGGGGGAGGGTTTTTTGTTCTTCATAACACGTGTTATTGAGGTGGACAGTAATATCAACAAGTCTGTGGTTGAAACGAAGTATACCAGTCTCCGTGGTGTAGTGGTAAACACTCGCCTGGCGTTCCGCGAGCGATTTGTCATGGGTTCGTGTCCTGGCCGGGAAGGATTTACTGGGCGCAAATCCTTAACTGTTGCCTCTGTATAACTCGACAGTAAAATGTGTACTTGGTTGTAACAACAATTCTTCGCGGCGGGGATCGTATTCCAGGGACCTGTCCGAAACGCTACGCGTACTAGTGGCTGTACAAGAATGTAACAACTCTTGTATATATCTCAAAAAAAAAGTAGGGAGAATAGTAACACTCACATGAGGATTCTTATGAAGTACAAAAGACCTCATCACGTAGTAAAGCTGGGCAGAGAAGTGGCAGATGCATCTCAGGTTTGATAAGTGCAAAGTCTTAAATTTTGGAAATGGGACTGGCATCATCTGCCGAATGAATGCTACAGATTTTAGTAAATCAATTTGCGACACTCTTGGGGTCAAGACCGTCAGGGTCCTGAGACCTGGTCAGCAGTGCATTTACTTGTGAAATAAGTATATTAGAATGCTATGGTTTATAGACAAAATCGTCAGCAATAATGCCACAAAGAATTTCTCCAGCTATATTTTGCCCTGGTGATTCCCCATTATACTATTCTGATTAGAATAGTCCAATTTCCAATTCTGATTAGAGCATTAGAGAGTGAAAATGAGTTCCTTTTGAAAATCCATCGAAGGATATAGAGTGAGTCCCAAGGAATGAGGGACTTCCAATACAAAAAGAGGTTTAGGAAGGTTGGTCTGCATGCCCTGGCGGGGCGAGGGACCGCGTGACTGAGGTCTTCAAGTGAATGATAAGTATCAACAGTGAAAATACGAACAAAGTCTTGAAGCCATCATACCAGGTCAAACCCAGTAACGATGGTTATAAGCTGGAGAAACGCAGGTTCAGGGAGGATGTGGGTGAAGAGGATGGTGACCGACAAATGAAATGGGTTTCCAGCCAACATCATTAAGATGTTATAGCTAGATTAAAGAATAGGTTCGACTGACACGTAAGGACAGGGGCTTCAGCTTGATAGTCGCTTCCCTGAATGGGGCAACAGGTTCGCCGAGGTGACGACAGTTTATTATACTGTAATGTTCACATGTTCATTTCAAACATTACTACAGCCAGACATCCTCACGACACACTGTAACCGACATAATTAGTTCTTCTTACCACTTAGACACTCCATATGAATCCTAACTTAACTAGGATTAAGTTAGGATTCATAATCCTAACTTGCCATCACCAAAATCAACCATATTCGCCAGTAATCATCTTAACTCATCATAAAGATAATGACTATAAAAACCCCTTGCCCCTCACTCCCTCCTCCAGGGCCTGTACTCGACGGTCAGGACGAGTCAGCTGTCCCTGAGCAGCAACCCTGACCTGGACGTCCGCTTCGCCAGCGCGTACACGCAGCTGGGGACCTACAGAGGCAGGGTGGTGGCCGTCAAGCAGGTGTCCAGCAAGGCCGTCGACATCACTCGCAGAATCAAGAAAGAACTCAAAACGGTCAGCGGTTCACTCTTTATCCTGTACATTACTGTCTCTCTCGTTATGCGTGAAATTGCTATCAATAATTCTTAACAATAAGGAGATCTCCCCGATTCAGATAAAGTGGGCCAACTTTGGCGGACCACTTTATCAGACCCGGGACAGTGGACCATCTAAGGCGGACCACTTTATCAGACCAGGGACTCATTACACTGTGTTCGGCATTTGCTCACCTTGTGGTGGGTTGATGCACATCGCCTGTCAAATGTACACGAATTTTAATTCAATGTTTTCACCTGATAATCGTATGTTTCTTCCTTTATCTGTCAGTCACCTTCCTGTGGTTGTCACTTTCCCCTTGTTTGTCGGTCACCTTGCTGTGGCTGTCGGCCACCTTGCTGTGGCTGTCGGCCAACTTGCTGTGGCTGTCGGCCACCTTGCTGTGGCTGTCGGCCACCTTGCTGTGGCTGTCGGCCACCTTGCTGTGGCTGTCGGCCACCTTGCTGTGGCTGTCAGTCAGCTTCCAGTGCCTGTCAATCACCTGGGCAGCGCTTCCATCATATCCTCGACATAATTACCTTGTCTCGTGTTAATGTATGCAAATGAATTTTAAATGATGCTCCGCACTTAATGTCTTGCAAATGTTTCTATTCAATAATTTACTCAATTAAATAACTACACCAAAGCTTATTTTGCTAATGCATTAGTATTAATTTATCATGTTTTGTGTGTTAAAAAACAGAACATGATCTCTGCCTCATAAAGAGCACTTAACACACGCCTAACCATCTCTCTGAATCCTAAATGATTATTTAGGTGTAGTTAACTACTTCACTGAGGCCCCAGGTCGTCTGACCACCACTTTGCTCCACCACAGATACGAGACCTCCGTCACGATAACCTGCTGGGCTTCGTCGGCGCCTGCGTCGACCCTCCCAATGTCTGCATCGTCACCGAGTACTGCTCTAGGGGCTCCCTGAAGGTGGGTGTGGCTCTAGGGGCTCCCTGAAGGTGGGTGTGGCTCTAGGGGCTCCCTGAAGGTGGGTGTGGCTCTAGGGGCTCCCTGAAGGTGGGTGTGGCTCTAGGGGCTCCCTGAAGGTGGGTGTGGCTCTAGGGGCTCCCCTGAAGGTGGGTGTGGCTCTAGGGGCTCCCTGAAGGTGGGTGCTTCCCTGGATGCTTCCTGAAGATGACTGGACAATGGTCTCAGGGCCTCCTGTGATGTGGGTAGTAATATTCTGTTATAATGTCCCCTAAGGGTGTGTCTTGCTGTTCGGGGGCCCTAAGGTTAGGGGCTACCATTGTAAGGGCGCCCTGTATAATAGTTCTGGGGACCTAGGGGGACCTACTAATGGTGTGTAAGCACTGCTTAATACCCCTAAACTCTAAAGGCTCCCCTGAAGATGGACAGGTGGAACAAAAAAGGGTGAGTGGGTCATTGAGATTTATTGACAGTTGTTAATCATTTGATTAAGGTCTTGGGTAGATTTTTGAGTGTTTGATGGCCACCTGGATGAATGGATAGGTAGATAGGAAAGCGGGCACCTGGATGAGCAAGTCAGTGATGAGATGGATGACCGGATGGTGAGGGGGGATATACATGGAGAGGAATGGATGAACGTCCTGTTGGATGTCACTCTAGGAGGGAGGCTGGATGGCATGATGGCTGACCTTGTTGAACACATTTATACTGAAATCATTTTATATAATATATATACATGTTAATTTCTTTGATATATATAGAACTAGAAGAGGGTACCCAGCGGTGACAAGGTCTCTGTCTCTCTGTCTGTCTGTCCATCTATTTGTGAGCCTCTCTGTCCCTGTCTCTTTCAATCTCTTTCTCACTTTCATTATCATTCTCTCTCTCTCTCACTGTCCCAGAACATGTCATAACTACCCCCGTTAAACACACACCCTAAAGTGGAACGTTTCGTGAGCCTACCCACAGAAGTCTGACCTCCGTCTTCGGATAAACAGACAGACAAACAGGCAGAAATTCTATTTTATATAGATATATATATCTATAAATCCGTTTAAATGTTATTCCTAATGTGTTTTTTTTTTGGTTTTGTTTGCAGGACATCTTGGAAAATGAGGACGTCAAATTGGACAAGATGTTCATCGCATCTTTGATAGGTGACATTGTTCACGTAAGTTAAAGACATGTTCACTTTGTGGGACTCGAACTGTTGGCATAATGTTTGGTTGTACTTCGCACTCTTTACTATTTGGACAGGCACCGATGGTAAACACAATGAGGTAATCCGTCATGTCCATTCTCCCCTGAGGCCGGGCTCGACGCACGTCGTTCTTCCCATTATGAAACCCGTGACGTAGGCCACTTTGTTTGATTTTCCCCTCCGTGGCCAGCTCTATTTGCAAGCTTGTTGAGCATATGATTATTGTGCGACTAATGTGGGTTTTAAAACATAATCATTACCACTCTCTTGTCCACCGCTCCTCAACCCTAGTTCGAGTCCCGCGTCACAGCCCGCTTAACATCATTGAAGATCTACTGGGTTCATCTGGGTAACTCCTTCTATGCTTGTAATTCGTTGTAGCAGTCTAGTGCTTTTTTTTTTACCTAGACGAGAGTATGATATGCCTGGCTATACAACACAGCCCAATTGCACAGATTTGGCCTCTGATGCAATTCGTCATTTTTCCTCCAACGTCTCCTGTCTCTCTCTTACCGTGCGTTCATCGTCCACCCTGGGACTACCATGTTTGCCTGTTATCGTCAACGTGAAGGGGTCCCTCAGGGCAGTATTTTAAGCACTACGCTCTTCCTGGTTCCCCTTAACTCTCTCCCCAACTCCTCTTTCCCGGCAATGGTTTATTCACAATTTTATATTATTGATCTCACTGTTTGTTCCTGCGGTACCGATGTTTTCGTTTTTCAGCGCCGGCTTTAGCTCGCGAACGCGTAGATTGTGTAGTTGAGGCCATAGGCGTGGTTAAATGTTCCTTACCCTGATATTATCTTGTACCTTGAATTTCACTAGGAAATATGTCTAACTACCGCCCAAGATTCTCTATGGAAGTCAACTTGTACAAAAGAATCTTGCGAAATTGTTGCGCTTGATCTTTGATGCTTACCCCTCTTGCTCATCACCTATACTACCTCCTGGGGTTAGTATAGACGAGCGCTCTTGTATCTGCTCTCCTATTGCTGTCTAAACTGAACTATATCTGGCTTCTCCCTCCGCTCTTTACATCATGTGGGTTTAGCCTCGCTTACGGGCTTAGCTCTCCGAGGAGAAATGAAGTAAATGTATATATGCTGAACAAATCCACAAGGTTCCGTGCGAGGGCAGTTGTACTCCCGGTTACAATTCTGTTTACCATGTCGTGGCACAGTTGATTAACGCGCGTCTGGGATCCTCTCCTACGTAGGTTCGAACCCTCATCACAGCCCATGTGGATTTGTTCATTTAATACTATTCACGAACCCAATAACACAAAGCGTTCATTTACATTTGTACCGGTCTTTGCCCCACTGCTTCTTAATGAAACTGCTGCTCACTCTCCGGTGCAGTCTTTTACTGCAACTTGCAGACATCTTTCTTTGTGTGTGTCTGCACTGATCCCTCCCCCCCCCTCATGTTACACTGTTACTACCTCACCCCCATGGAGCATCCCACTTGTTACACTGTTACCACCTCACACCCATGGAGCATCCCACTTGTTACACTGTTACCACCTCACACCCATGGAGCATCCCACTTGTTACACTGTTACTACCTCACACCCATGGAGCATCCCACCTCACACCCATGGAGCATCCCACCTCACACCCATGGAGCATCCCACCTCACACCCATGGAGCATCCCACCTCACACCCATGGAGCATCCCACCTCACACCCATGGAGCATCCCACCTCACACCCATGGAGCATCCCACCTCACACCCATGGAGCATCCCACCTCACACCCATGGAGCATCCCACCTCACACCCATGGAGCATCCCACCTCACACCCATGGAGCATCCCACCTCACACCCATGGAACATCCCACCTCACACCCATGGAGCATCCCACCTTACACCCATGGAGCATCCCACCTCACACCCATGGAGCATCCCACCTTACACCCATGGAGCATCCCACCTCACACCCATGGAGCATCCCACTTGTTAAATTCTGTTAAGATCTCACTTGTACAGTGAAGGTTTATACGCCCAAAGAATGTTTTAAAACGACCTTGTAAATGTGTTCACGGTTATTCATGGCTCCTGTTACCTTCACCATCAGGGTCAAAATATCCTGATAAAAAACATTTTTATTATGCTCCCCCCCCCTTCCGGAGACAAACATTTTTACTGAGGGCTGTATATGATCATATATGATGTATGACAGACACTTCTCATGTGTCAACGATCGTTTGCTCATGTTGGTCATTACTTCACTGTTCTCAAGACCTGGAGTCTTTTAACCATTTTCATCTCGTAGTGAGATCCAACGCTGACTCATCTTTACCGGTAGAAAGTGAAGGGACGACGACGCTTCGGTCCGTCCTGGATCATTCTCAAGTCGATCGACTTGAGAATGGTCCAGGACGGATCAAAACGTCGTCGTCCCTTCACTTTCTAGTGTGTGGTTTGGTCAACATTCTTCAGCCACGTTATTGTGACTCATCGTCTGCTCATCTTTAGCAGATTTAAAACTTGTCATTCTGAGTTTCGAGCACACCAACGGAGCACCGCTCCCGTGTCAGGTAAGTCCACTACGGGCTCACCATATCCCGTGCTACTTGCCCCGCTCCTGTGCCAGGTAAGTTACGGGCTCACCATAGCCCGTGCTACTTGGAACTTATTCCGAGTAGCTGAATCTATAACAACAACAACATGAGTTTCGAGTCATATGAGTGTTTCCTCTCGTGACCTCCCGGACGCCGCCGTTAACGAGGCCATTCGTTCCTGTCCCATCTCCGAGAAGCGAATTCCTTACTTGGATTACTACCCCTGTGAGTCATGACACAATCTGCAGCCCTTGAAGAGACAGATGGTTAGCAACTACGAATATATAATGATGTACTATCAAGTGTGACCTTGACTTGTGGCCTGCCTCCGCAACTGGACCTGGGAGAGGTCTCAGGCTTATATTAGTTAATACGGGAGAGAAAGATCTAGATATACGTGACGAAAGATATACGTGACGCGATAACTACCTCTCATATAGGCGCGATAACTACCTCTCTTTTAGGCGCGATAACTACCTCTCATATAGGCGCGATAACTACCTCTCTTATAGGCGCGATAACTACCTCTCTTATAGGCGCGATAACTACCTCTCATATAGGTGCGATAACTACCTCTCATATAGGCGCGATAACTACCTCTCTTATAGGCGCGATAACTACCTCTCTTATAGGCGCGATAACTACCTCTCATATAGGCGCGATAACTACCTCTCTTATAGGCGCGATAACTACCTCTCTTATAGGCGCGATAACTACCTCTCTTATAGGCGCGATAACTACCTCTCTTATAGGCGATGTACGGCACTTCGGATCCATTAATAAACTCTTTATTCACAACAGCTTCAATACACGCTATTGCAGCTGGAATTTCCACGACTGCTGGCGCCAGACTTGACCTTCGATTGGTCCTCGTTAAACGCTTTAAAGTGTTCTCATTCAGATTTCGTGGCCTCGGACGAGTCTCTTATCGTCATTTTTGCGTCAATATCAGCCCTTGCCGGGGAGGGTAAGTTGCGCGCTCGCTTCCGAGATGTGGCGGCCATTTCTCAGGCAATCGAACGCTGATTCCCTCTAGAGGGAATCAGCGTTCGCCCGCCAAACACACACCGAAACTACGACGTTGCTACAACGTTCGAACAAGTTTTAACACCTCCTAACCAAGTTATAACATCCAATATAGCAAGTTGTAACAACGTTCTAATACGTCATAAACACGTTAAGCCAAGATGTAACAACTTTATTACAAGTTGTAACAAGCGGAAAATAGAAACAGTTTCGGTCTGTGTTTCAAGGGGGCCGTTACCCGTCATAGACAATGTAGGCGCATAACCTACAATCAAAAGGTGTTAAGGAAGATACTTGAAGGAGTCGTCGCTCATGTGGAAACCAGGCGCCAGATTCACGTAGTAGTTACGTAAGTACATACGAACGTGTACATCTTTCATCAATCTTTGACGGCTTTGGTTACATTTATTAAACAGTTTTCAAGCATGAAAACTTGCTTATCAACTGTTGTCATTGTTACAAACAGCCTCCTGGTGCTTCGGAGCTCATTAACTGTTTAATAATTGTAAACAAAGCCGCAAAAGGTTGAGAAAAGATGTACAGGTTCGTAGACCAGACTCCACAATAGAAGGTGAAGGGACGACGACGTTTCGGTCCGTCTTTGTCCATTCTCAAGTCGTCGTCCCTTCACCTTCTAGTGTGTGGTCTGGTCAACATACTTCAGCCACGTTATTGTGACTCATCGCCTGCTTACAGGTTTGTTTGTACTTGCGTAACTGCTTCGTGAATCTGGCCCCATGTCCTTAACACAAAGTTATATTCACCACGGGTGGGTTAACGGTCCAAGGCCCCACTGGTCTTGAACTCATAACATCCTCTATCTTGATGAACGATTGATGGCACAAATCTGCATCTTATCAACAAAAGTGCATCATTCCATAACCTCCTTTTGAAATGTTCTGAATTTCAGAATGATCGAAAAAGTTGCTGTTCTGCTGTTCCTTTGTGTCATACGCTCTGTGACATCATCGCTGAGTGTGTACTTATCTAGTTGTGCTTGAAGGTGTTGAGCTTTGACTCTTCGGCTCTCTGTGTGTGACACCCTTGATGTAACTCACCTCATGTCTTTTGCTTTTGTATTGGCATCCTGTCGATTTTTGTGAAGGATCTTTTGAATATCCCGTTACACATATAATGCAACGTAGCTCTTTTGATAGCTACTTAATTACAAAGATAACATCACATATCTTTGTTAGCGTCTCTAAATGTTCCTTGGTCAAGAATATACTACTTAAAAAAAGGCGAGATATATGATGACCAGATACATATGGTCCCTCTACTCGAACGCGGGACATGATTAACTCTTCTCACGTCCCAATAATCATGAGGCTCATTTCGGCAACCTTCTGGCGTTCGAAACATACTGATGTCTTGACAGTCTAGAGCCTTGAACACTTAACGGTTCATAACACAGAATAATGTTCAGGTTAAGAGTAGAATGCCAGCATGGCAACAGGTCACTGAACGTAAATCATGCAATTGTAAGTGACAAACTTCAGAATAAAACGTTAACAAATGATGTGTAACAAAGATGGTAATAATGTATATATATATATATATATATATATATATATATATATATATATATATATATATATATATATATATATATATATATATATATATATATATAGTAATCAATTGAATACTATCAATATATATGATAATAAATAATAATATTGCTAAATTAAATAATTGTAATAGGATTCATAACTGAAAAATTAATTAAAGACTTAATTGTCATTATAATTCTCTCTCTCTCTCTCTCTCTCTCTCTCTCTCTCTCTCTCTCTCTCTCTCTCTCTCTCTCTCTCTCTCTCTCTCTCTCTCTCTCTCTCTCTCTCTCTCTCTCTCTCTCTCTCTCTCTCTCTCTCTCTCTCTCTCTCTCTCTCTCACTCACTAACCCCCATCTTCCTTCCTCGTTCCCTTGACCTTACTTCACCAAGCCGCTAGTACTAACTCTCCTCTCCCTCTCCAACAGGGAATGGTGTACCTTCACGACTCGGCTGTCAAGTCCCACGGTAATCTCAAGTCTTCGAACTGCCTTGTTGACTCGCGTTGGGTCGTTAAGATCACCGACTTTGGCCTTCACGAGCTAAAGTCTGGCACGGAAAACACTAACCTATCCGATGCTGGAGAAACCCATAGAAAGTGTACTGGTAAGTGACAGCTGCTGGGGGGAAGGGTTTTGGGTTCATGTTCATATATTTTAGGCACCACCATAGCCCCAAGGCCAGAGGCTTAGGGCTAGCCTTATCCAATTTTGTACTGTGATTGCTGTCGGGTACGTGCCAATATGGGTACGTCGGGGTTGGCATCATTTATAAAGAGTGTCAGTTAGCATTAGTGCCACAGCTACTCCTTCGACATGCAACACATGGTACATGTTAACACACGTGATGCACACATGTCATGCTGACACATGTGACACATTCTGACAGGTGATGCTTACTGATACACTTATTGAAACTAGTGATAAAACAAACAGATGATACATACTGATACACGTGAAACATACTGAAACATAATTTACACAATGAAACATGATAGATGTTGACACACGTGATATATATAATGCAACGTGATACATACTAACACACGCGAAATTTAATGACAGATGCTGAACCACGTGACACTGACATACCCCGATACATAATGCCACGTGATACTGACATACGTGATACATAGTAACATACGTGAAATACACTGACAAATATTTCACTCAGACACGATACATGGGCTAGCTATATATATATATATATATATATATATATATATATATATATATATATATATATATATATATATATATATATATATATATATATATATATATATATAACTGAAAACTCACACCCCAGAAGTGACTCGAACCCATACTGCCAGGAGCAACGCAACTGGTATGTACAGGGACGCCTTAATCCGCTTGACCATCACGACCGGACATAAGGAAGTGATAGCCGAAGCTATTTGAACCACTTTTTGAACCACATTTTATCAAGAATGAGGTGATTTGATAAAATGCTATGCCCAAGATTACCATCTGAGTGCCGGCGGGGAAGTGGTTCAAATAGCTTCGGCTATCACTTCCTTATGTCCGGTCGTGATGGTCAAGCAGATTAAGGCGTCCCTGTACATACCAGTTGCGTTGCTCCTGGCAGTATGGGTTCGAGTCACTTCTGGGGTGTGAGTTTTCAGTTGTATATAGTCCTGGGGACCATTCAGGCTTGTTTGCATTTGTGTTCCTCACGTGTGCCCCAAAGAATGAGGTGATTTGATAAAATGCTATGCCCAAGATTACCATCCGAGTGCCGGCGGGGAAGTGGTTCAAATAGCTTCGGCTATCACTTCCTTATGTCCGGTCGTGATGGTCAAGCAGATTAAGGCGTCCCTGTACATACCAGTTGCGTTGCTCCTGGCAGTATGGGTTCGAGTCACTTCTGGGGTGTGAGTTTTCAGTTGTATATAGTCCTGGGGACCATTCAGGCTTGTTTGCATATATATATATATATATATATATATATATATATATATATATATATATATATATATATATATATATATATATATATGACTGAAAACTCACACCTCCGAAGTGACTCGAACCCATACTGCCAGGAGCAACGCAACTGGTATGTACAGGACGCCTTAATCCACTTGACCATCACGACCGGACATAAGGAAGTGATAGCCGAAGCTATTTGAACCACTTCCCCGCCGGCACTCGGATGGTAACCTTGGGCATAGCATTTTATCAAATCACCTCATTCTTTGGGGCACACGTGAGGAACACAAATGCGAACAAGCCTGACTGTTCGAACAAATGCGAACAAGTCCGGTCGTGGTGGTCAAGCGGATTAAGGCGTCCTGTAGTTACCAGTTGCGTTGCTGCTGGGAGTATGGGTTCGAGTCACTTCTGGGGTGTGAATTTTCAGTCGCATATAGTCCAGGGGACCTTTTAGGCTTGTTTGTATATATATATATATATATATATATATATATATATATATATATATATATATATATATATATATATATATATATATATATATATATATATATATATATATATGTCGTACCTAGTAGCCAGAACTCACTTCTCAGCCTACTATGCAAGGCCCGATTTGCCTAATAAGCCATGTTTTCATGAATTAATATATTTTCTCAATTTTTTTCCTATGAAATGATAAAGCTACCCATTTCATTATGTATGAGGTCAATTTTTTTTATTGGAGTTAAAATGAACGTAGATATTTGACTGAACCTAACCAACACTGCCTAACCTAACCTAACCTATCTTTATAGGTTAGGTTAGGTTAGGTAGCCGAAAAAAGTTAGGTTAGGTTAGGTTAGGTACGTTAGGTAGTCGAAAAACAATTAATTCATGAAAACTTGGCTTACTAGGCAAATCGGGCCTTGCATAGTAGGCTGAGAAGTGCGTTCTGGCTACTAGGTACGACATATGTCTATATATATATATATATATATATATATATATATATATATATATATATATATATATATATATATATATATATATATATATATATATATATATAAGCCTATACTTGCATAAACCACAAGTGAAGATAAACAATCTTTGGACAACACCCACCAGTGGGACTCGAACCCAGAAAGCACAACTACCTTCCAGTAGCTGGCATAACTAGTATGCTTTAACCCACTACGCCATCAGACCTTACAAAAGAAGTAGATAGTTCGAGATATATATCTCAACTTCAACAACTATTCGAGATATATATCTTTTGTAAGGTCTGATGGCGTAGTGGGTTAAAGCATACTAGTTATGCCAGCTACTGGAAGGTAGTTGTGCTTTCTGGGTTCGAGTCCCACTGGTGGGTGTTGTCCAAAGATTGTTTATATATATATATATATATATATATATATATATATATATATATATATATATATATATATATATATGTCGTACCTAGTAGCCAGAACGCACTTCTCAGCCTACTATGCAAGGCCCGATTTGCCTAATAAGCCAAGTTTTCATGAATTAATGTTTTTTCGACCACCTAACCTACCTAACCTAACCTAACCTAACTTTTTCGGCTACCTAACCTAACCTAACCTATAATGATAGGTTAGGTTAGGTGAGGTTAGGTAGGGTTGGTTAGGTTCGGTCATATATCTACGTTAATTTTAACTCCAATAAAACAAAATTGACCTCATACATAATGAAATTGGTAGCTTTATCATTTCATAAGAAAAAAATTAGAGAAAATATATTAATTCATGAAAACTTGGCTTATTAGGCAAATCGGGCCTTGCATAGTAGGCTGAGAAGTGCGTTCTGGCCACTAGGTACGACATATATATATATATATATATATATATATATATATATATATATATATATATATATATATATATATATATATATATATATATATATATATATATACAGCCAACGAATTGGTAGGGCAGATCCTACCAGAGCGTATGAGAGACAGCGGGAACTCATGATCAAACGTACGTTCATCGAAGCAGCCAGACAATGGAACACCATTGCACACCCTCAACCCCGACCACAAGTCCCAAAAGACCACAAGCAGGCCCACTGGGATAGCCCCATAATGGAAAAGACTGTCACAGCAATGATTGACAACGCTGATGCTGAAAACAAAGCCGCCTCCTAGCGGTGAAACTGTGAACGCCAAGAAATCCGGACTCCACCTGCCAAAGATCATTGGGGAATATAAACCTGGATATGCGTATGGAAATGTCAAGACACACAAGCCTGGAAACCCACTTTGGCCAATCATTAGCCAGATACCCACACCCACGTACAGACTGGCGAAGCGACTCAACGGCCTGCTGACTCCTTATGTTCCTTGCGCCTTCAGCCTGAAGTCTCCAAAGGAATTTGTTGACTTACTGCGGGGCACACGGGCCACAGGGATAAGAGCCTCGTTGGACGTAGAATTGCTGTTTACCAACGTACCTGTGGACGAGACAATCGGGATGATAGCCGACAGAGTGTATCGTGATCCAGCCTGTACTCCTCTTGACATACCAGAAAATATTCTGAGGAAACTACTCCAAGCTTGTACTAAAGAGGCACCCTTCTTGAGCCCGGATGGGCACATGTATAAGCAAGTAGATGGGGTCGCCATGGGTTCTCTCCTAGGTGTCCTGTTTGCAAACTTCTACATGGGTACCATCGAGCAAAAAGTCTTAGTCGACATGAACTTGAAACCGGCCATATACTGCAGGTATGTTGACGACATTTATACACAGGTACCTGATGTCAGACATCTGCAGGAGCTGAAGGAGGCATTTGAGCAGAGTTCCGTGCTGCGTTTCACTTACGAGATGGAAAAGGATGGGAAGCTGCCCTTTCTAGATGTAACAGTCATGGAAAAGAACGGAGGTTTCCACACTGCAGTCTACACTAAGGAAACGAATATAGGAATGTGCCTAAATGCCAACAGCGACTGCCCAGACAGGTACAAGAGGAGTGTTGTTAACGCATATGTCGACCGTGCTCTCAGCCACAGCTCAGAATGGAAGCAAGTCGACGAAGAACTCTGTAGGGTAAGGCAGGTCCTAGTCAACAACGGCTTCTCCAATGGTTTCGTCGAAGACATCATAAGAAGGAAAGTGAAACGCCATGCAACCTCTGAAGAGACAACTAACACAACACCTATACCCCTATTAGACTATTTACAGGAACTTCTTTTCCACAGCTCATAAAACGGAGGAAAGGGTCCTGAAAGATATTGTTAATAGAAACGTTATCCCTACAGACAAAAATCAGAGGATACAACTGACGATTTACTATAAAACCAGAAAAACGGCCAGCCTACTCATGAGAAACTCTCCAGACACAAAACAGAACGCTTTAAAAGAGACTAACGTCGTCTATGCCTTCAAATGCCCTCTTGGGGACTGCAAGCTCCAAAAAACCCAGTATATAGGCAAGACAACAACATCTCTTTCTAGGCGTTTAACGATGCATAAGCAACAGGGCTCCATCAAGGAACATATAACCTCTTCCCACAACCAAACCATTGCCAGAGAAATCCTAGTAAACAACACAGAAATCATCGATAGATACAGCGATAGCAGGCGGCTTGACGTTTGCGAGGCACTACACATCAAGAAGTCAACACCAGCAATCAACAGCCAATTAATGCACAACTATATTCTACCCACCTCAAGACTCCGCTCCAATATAGAAGCATCAAGAAATATGGACCAAAAGGCTTTCTACAATCACTTCTATTCAATACCCATTGTTTCGTGTTCTGTCTTGTGTTGATGAAATTAATACCCTATTAATACCACCTCTTGTTCTGTCTTGTGTTGATGAAATTAATACCCTATTAATGCCACCTCACCCCATCCACCTCTCTCAAATGTAGATATAAAATCGGAGATGCGTAAGTTCTATTCAGTTGTGTATTTGTAAACTAAAGTTTTTGAAAATGTAATAAATTTTACGAAACGCGCTTGTGTCGCGTCAGACTAGAAATAAAAATGAATTTTGGAGAATTGATTTTTGATTTACCTCCAACAGTGAAAAGAAATGTACGAAAGATTGAGAAAATTCGTGTTAGAATTATTAATCTTACTTTTTCGGTCATATTAATAATATATATATATATATATATATATATATATATATAGATATATATATATATATATATATATATATATATGTGATCTGACATTGTCACATTCTTAATCACGTGTTTATTTTCGTGATATACACACACACACATATATATATATATATATATATATATATATATATATATATATATATATATATATATATATATATATATATATATATATATATATATATATATATATATATATATATATATATTGACTCACTTCACAAACCGACACGTGATACATACTGGCACACTTTATACATACCAATACATGACACATTGATAAATGGTAAATCAAACACCACGTATGGTTTACTGGGCCAGCCAGAGGCTTAGGGCCCTGCAAAATCAATATATAAATAAATAATTCGTGTCAGTATCATGTTAATATGTACAAAGTGTGTTGACATGTATCACGTACGTATCACATGCATCACTATGTATCACATATGCCAGTATGTATCTTCCTGTCTGCATTTGCCTCATATCAACATTAATATGTTTCTCTCAGACACAATCTTCCATTTTCCTCCTTGTCTTGCTATGCCTTCTCTTCTATATATCACTTCCTTCTTCTTTTCCTCCATTTATGGTTCTCGTCTTCTGCCGCAGAGCTGCTGTACAGGGCGCCGGAGCTCCTGCGGGACTCCTCAGCCCCTCCGGCAGGCACGCAGAAGGGCGACGTCTACTCCTTCGCCATCGTTCTCTATGAGGTGTTCTATGACCGCCCTTTTTTAGTTTGGAGCATATTACTGATAATATTCTGCCTCAGGTGTCTGGGTGGGGCGTCCTGCTGGTGTGTATATATTATTCATTATATATATATAATGACATAAGGTTTACTCTCCTTCTCACCATGACCTTGAACCCTCCTACAGGTTCACGGGCGACAGGGACCGTGGGGCGAGACAGAACAGAGTCCGGTAGCCATTATACACAAGGTAATGGCTGGACCTCAGCCAGGATCTGCTCCCTACAGGTAGGCACTAACTCGTACATCCCACACACACACACACATATACATATTACATATATATTATGTATATATATACACACACACACACACACATACATATGAATATGATAAAACACTGCTGATCTAAGTCTGCAGAATAACCAGAGTGAAAAATGAAAGGTTAAAAGCTTACCTCTTATAATTCATTCGAGCCTTCATTCATCACGATAATGTGATTTCATTGTGCATTTAACGAGAAGCGTTGGAGGTGAACTACTTGACCAGAGTCATGGAACACAAGGAAGGGGGGGGGGCAGTGGGTGAAACCCCGGGTTTGGGCTCCAGGTGGGAGCCTCAGATCTCCTAGTGGATTCAGTGTGTTACGGCCACACAGGACCAGTTACCGGGTTCTTGTTGGAGGAACCTTCGTACTATATCCGACCCTAAGTCGGTAATGGCTTTCAAGGAATTGGCTAGATAATACAAGAAGTAAAAAGAGGGGGAATGAATAAAACACCGTTTCCTTCACCAATATATTCATCAACACCATAAATTGAGATATAAAGAGGGGATATGGAATATTACTGCACTTATATACACCCCGTGTCGCTTTCGCACAGGACACAGGACACTCAAAATGCACACACAATGCAGAGTCCGTCAATCCCAGTGTTTCCACTACACTCAATACCTTTTCCGACCATACTGGGAAACACTGGCGAGTTGACCTTTCCCGTGGGTGAGCCCACCAACAGTATCACAAGGTGCCTATACCCCATGACCACACTCCAGCCACTTGCTGGCAGAGAACCTCAGCCACGCGCTGATTGGGGCCACAACACACTCAATACAGAGGTAGCGAACTCCTGGCAGAAGCCTCTAGCGACCGGCTAACAGCATTTCTCAACAGGCACCTCACTGTCGCCCGTTTCTCCTCTAAGCCAGTCCCGGGATACGCCGATCTCTTCCCATACTACTTCAACAGCAGTCAACACATTCTCCATCAGGTCGGTGGCGGCTTACTTAGTCGTCTGGCAGGATTGAGTTGGGAGAACGTAGGCTGCCCAAGGTAAACTGCCGTCCTCGGTACAACCACTGCCCCATGTCACCTCTGCAGACACAGACACGTCATCAGTTAAATGGAAGGTATTGGTGAAACCAAGGTGTTGTCATAGCCAGGGGGTGGTAATGGGGGACGAGCTCCCATGACCTATAAAATGCTCCTATACGGCATGCGTCTCCAATAGCCTCTGACAACCAAGTCCAACTCCTGGCCTGCACGGGTGGCTTAGTCTTTAAGTCCGGCGGAACTGCTTTTACCGACAGGAGAAGGGGCGAGGGCGTGCCTCTGGCGCCTTAAAACCAGCTGCTCCGGGTAGATGGGACTCGATAGCCTAGGAAGGCAACCCATCTAGGGGAAGGAAAACCCTGATTTTAAACCTCCGCTGCCTTGCGGCCATACCCGTTTTTTAGGAAAGGCTTCAGGAGTCAACCTCGAGGAAAAATCCGGAGTTGGAGCCCCTAAAGCAGTTCGTTGTTGACGTCGACCTCGTTCTGGCAGCTCCTGCGACGTTGCTGGAACCATGTGTATTGGCATTTGCCTTTCTATTGGATAATTTCAGCAACGTGGAGAGGGGGGGGGGGACCTGCTGCATGGGTAACAGCTTCTCCTCCATATCTACCGACCCAGGCTTTGCAGGGCGCAACTTCATAGTCTTCCGAGACTGAAGGATGCCTACTACTGGTGAAACCAGGAAGTAACACTTAGTCACTCGGGAGTTGACATTCTGCTCGTAGCTACAACAGATGGCGCTGGTTTTGAGTCGCCACTCCATCAGAGGCCATCCACAATGACTTCACTTGCTAGCCAAGGTAGGAATCATGAGCCATTTGTCACTGTTACGCCACAACCCATAGATGGCGTTGTCTACGTAGCGTCAAATTCCAGGGGAATTTGAGTACAGACTCATAGATGACGCTGGAATTACCAGGCCATACTCAGACGGCGGTGACGAGTCCGTAACACAGTGGAACCCCACGTTGCATTGTTCGTGGCCATTACGTGGTGAAGTGGTCTAGGGCGCTAGCTAGGGAGTACCAAGTGAGCGGGTTCGAATCCTCTTCAAGGCTTCTACTGATTTTCTCATATATATATTGGGATTGGAAATGTTCAAGCGGTTGAAACTTGTAATATTTAATTAAACAATTAATGGCCAAATTGAAATGTAAAGTAAACAGAAGCCAAGACAATAACCAAATTTTACATGGTAGGCTAAAATGGACCTAAATAAACCTTACCAAGACATTATAAATTGCTGTGTACAGGATACAAGGGTTGCCCAGTGCCAGTCCAAACTTTTGAGAACAAGATTTATCACTAAACACTAAAGTATTATCAATGATAAACAACTTAATCAATTTAACAATAGTAGAAAATTGAAGTGTGATGTTATATATATATTTATGGTGAGTTCTTCAGACATATATGTGAACAAATCAACAGGGACTCTAGTACCATAACACAGTTATATGGGAGTTCGTCAACCTAAAAATGTAATTCACGTTCAAATTAGTCAACTTATTCAACAAATCAACATTGCACTTTATAAGTGAAATTGATACAGTGTCTACTAGACAGTTTGTAAGGGACAGACACCATGGAACTTGCACTCGGTCTCGCCGTGGAAAATAAACGTTATTGAAGTTGAAAATAAACATTCAATCAACGTTATTGACGTTGAAAATAAAACGTTGCCGACTTTGATTCAACGTCGATAACAGCTGGAAAATATGATGTAAAGACTCAATAGAAAATTATACTCCCATTTCAGAGCATAGGAGTTACTGGAATTCGGAATAGGAGCCTATCATTATTAAAGAAGTGCATAGGGTCGACCCCATCCACCCTATGACACTCACCTTACAATCACAAATCACCATGCAAAGTTTCGTGAGGCTAGCCCCAAGCATCGGGCCTCCAACTGTGGACTATAGGCCGACAAATAGACATTCGCTCATATATAAATAGATGTAACTATTCAGCTCAAGTATCAGCCTCTCGGTGCTAAAATCCCTTCAAGAGCCAAGACAACACTTTCCTTGTAGTGTTGTTTATATTATCAGTCTCCGTGGTGTAGTGGTAAGACACTCGCCTGGCGTTCCGCGAGCGCTTTGTCATGGGTTCGTATCCTGGCCGGGGAGGATTTACTGGGCGCAATTCCTTAACTGTAGCCTCTGTTTAACGCAACAGTAAAATGTGTACTTGGATGAAAAAACGATTCTTCGCGGCGGGGGATCGTATTCCAGGGACCTGCCCGAAATGCTACGTGCACTAGTGGCTGTACAAGAATGTAACAACTCTTGTATATATCTCAAAAAAATGTATATATAAACAAGGACTTGTGCTGTATTGTGAACATCAGGAGGAACTGTAGTGGAAGATGCTGATTAAACTCCAGTGTGAGCCACTATAGTCTGAACTACAGTGTGAGCTGCTGTGTGTGTGTGCTCTAGTGTGTACTGCTTCGTGCTCTGATGAGTGAGCTCCATCCACGGCGCTGGAACAATACTTTGTGAGTGCTCTGTATTTCAGAGTCTGGTTTTCCTCAATTCAAAGATGTTCTTAGACCTTTTTTTTTATCACTGGAGGGTGATATCATTATCATCAGACTTATTGGAGAAAGTTTCTGGCTGTTCTGCAAACACGGTTTACAGTACACACAGAAAGCACAATAGCGTGATGCATCAAATTAATAAATCCGGACGTAGGTTCGAACCCTAGTCACGCCCTTGTCGATTTGTTCAAGGTTTAGTGTTGAACTTTATGGTCACTTCGATAATTCACCGTCACCCTCAACATGTTCATTGTGTCGATGAACAAGTCAATTCCTGTAAACCCAGTGATATTCTGTGTTGTTTTTAGTATTCGCTGGTTTTCTTCATCAACTGCATTACTGTTCTGTCTTCTTTATTGTGGAAAAAAATTATCTTTTACAAAGTCTATCCCAGGGAGACATGTGGTTGTATTTTGTTACAAATGAACCTCGTGGCAGTGGGTGTTTCATCTCTTGAACAAGTAGTTGAGTGTTGATATTGTTATAGGGAGTCTATACACTTTTAATGTGTATATACAGATTGAGAAATTAGTTTTGGAATAACCTGCCGTATTTGATTCACTTAGTGTATCCCGGACAAGGTTTTGGTAACTCTCTCGCTCTTTCCCCTCTCTTTCTCTCTCCTCTCCTTCTTTCTCTGTCTGTGTCTCTCTTTTGCTCTCTCTCTCTCTCTCTCTCTCTCTCTCTCTCTCTCTCTCTCTCTCTCTCTCTCTCTCTCTCTCTCTCTCTCTCTCTCTCTCTCTCTCTCTCTCTCTCTCTCTCTCTCTCTCTCTCTCTCTCGTCTCTTCTCTCTCTCTCGTCTCTTCTCTCTCTCTCTCTCTCCTCTCTCTCTCTCTCTCTCTCTCTCTCTCTCTCTCTCTCTCTCTCTCTCTCTCTCTCTCTCTCTCTCTCTCTCTCTCTCTCTCTCTCTCGTTCTGGTCTTCCAAAGTGTGGTGACCTGGTGGATACACACAGCACCACCACTTTCAACTACTAAAAGTGAGCCAGTATGCTGGGAAACTGCTGAATATTGCCTGGTCGAGCACAAGCGCTGAACAACAGGGAAGCAATAGAGCATAAATATACACAGGGGAAAGAAAACAGAGACTGGCGGAAAGGCTAACAAGTCATAGCATGATAACGACGAGCGGGTAGCGTGAATAACAGCTTTATCCCACAAGAGTATAACTCAGTTTGAGAGTCAATATGAGAAGATAACAAACAGAGATATCTTCTCTGTTTGAAGATAACAAACAGAGAGCCAAAGGAACGGAGAAACAAAATCGCGGATGGAGAATAAAAGTGACATAAAGCCAGAATATTGTTTCATTTGTCTATTGGTTGTGTTTTGTTTATCTTTCTTGCTACACCTGGATTAAGAAATTCTTGCTTTCTTGTTTATCTTTCTGTGTTGGATTAAGGTGGAAATAT